TATTATTTATGCCTAATTCTTTTCTCTGTTGCATTTATTATAGTAGAAAGAAAATTGAAATAAATGGAAAAAAATAATGGAATAATTCTGAATGTATGAGGATAATCTTTGAGGATGAATTATAGATAGAGGTGCAAAAGCAGATCGTTCTCGAGGCGGAATCGTAGAGAACACACGTCCCATTATACGTGCCTCTCTTTCCTTTATCGGTGGCCCATCTAAAATGGAAAACTTTCCGCTATTTTTCCTCTGTGGCCCACCACCCGCATCTAAAGTACTTCCGCGACAAAGGTCGTGAATAAAATCAGCTCGGCTTGTCGCCATTTTGTTGCCAACGCGTGTGTATCGTCGAATTCTGACACAATTGCCGGGGATATCGATAAATCCTTTCCTTCTTCCACACTTTGAATTATTTATTAATTCTTTGTCTATCAGATACACCTGTAAATTGAATTAAAAATAAATTGTTTGATCTCGTACAAATTTTTTTCTTTGAATGAAATTTCTTCCTAATTTTTAAGAAAAATTTAAAAATTTGAAAGTTTCACGCGTCACAAGAAAAATGACAAAAGTTCAGAAAGGCAGCTCAATGCTATTCTATCCTTGTTTTAACCGTAGCCGACCACAAACTAATGAAAAATCGATAAAATTCTCAAACAATAGCACATCCAACACAATTCCATCATCTAGATTCATATCGAACTTATTTATTCCTGACAGATATCGATCTATCGTTCGAGAGTGCATTATCGAATAATGACGGACCAACTATGAAAAAAATGGCGCGTGAATCGACAAACGCAGTATCAGAGATATTCGCGCGACATAAAAATTCAATCTCGATGATGAAGCGGCCTTTCTGTTTCTATGTCGCGAGAAACGACGAAAATGGAATAGGTGGGAGAATTATGGATCGACGATGTATGGAAATTTATCCTGACAGGTTGAGATGTGTTTGATGACCGAATTCTAAAAATCGAAATGATTTATCGAAGGACCGAATGCACACGTTCTCAGAATATCGAGAAACAGTTTGAATTTTTAGCCGAGCGTCGTTAGAAATAGATATGAAATACCGATGAGTTTATTTATTCATTTATAAATCTCATTTATATATTTTATAATTCCTGTTCTTTTTATAATTTTTGCATAAAATTATTAATATTCATACCATAATTGCATACTCCATAAATTTGTCAAGTATTACACATTGATGGCTTCCCTTACTCGCCTTTTATGACGCACAAGAATTAGGCCTATTCTGTCCTCAAATTCACAGGGGGATAAATGATGTATCAGTAATCATAAGAATTAGTGTCCGGTTAATATTCACATTAATTCCTGAAACTGAAAAAAAAATCCGTAAGAAATTCACCTAACCTAAAATCTTAATGACAAACATAAAAGAAAAAAAAAAAAATGATACATATTTAATCTAATCAAATCCAAGATTTTCAACAAAAGACACGAGATTTTCAACAAAGTCTCATACTACGTACTTACCAAAGAAAGAGATCTTATATACTCGAAATTGTATACACATCTAACCAAACCAAATTCAAGATCTTCAAAAAAGACATGCACGACTACTTGACAAAGAAAAAGATCTCGATACTCGATACATACATACATATACGTCCACCTACGAATATCAAAGCTCACGAACAAGGGATATTTCTGTCGTGACATATCACCACGAAGCAGAAATAAAGGAGAAATCGGTGTCTCCGTTTCCTATGCGACGTGCGCGCATTCCGCCGAGGCGGAATGCATTTTCGTTGCTTCCATTTTTAAGGAATGGAGGGATGTTGTACATTGTCGCACAAGGGCCACGGAATCGACGTATCAGAAGTGTAAATCGTTGACTGGTTCTCGAAAGTGGGACGGATACGAAAATAATTTTCCTCGTCGTTTCGTAGGCAATTCTCCCTCTCCCTCTCCCTCTCTC